AAATAAAAATATAGGGTTGTAGTCCTCGAAAGGGCCTACAACGCCATATTTTTTGTTTTTTGTTTGGATTATGTTTAGACCAGGAAAAAAATTCATTGCGGACCCCGTTTATTTGCGTCTAACGTGCATTTAAATGGGATTCGACGCGAATTCAACGCGCGTTGAATAATTCGACGCGGAACCCGCGTTAAATCGAAAATCGGACACATAGGCCTTGGGGGATGTCGTGGTTTTAAATGTGAGTACGTATGACTTCCTTATCGGATTGCCGGCCCTTGTTGCGCTCCAGGCTAATTTAGATTTCGAGAAACGATCGATTATCCTCCGGAATACGGGCGGCAAACTGTACACCATCCCAATGAGACTCACTCTATGAACAACATTACCTGCAGTTCGGAAAGTCTGCCACGAAGTCGGGGGACCGCTCCACGTGATCACCTGGGAAGAGGCCACTAGCAAATCTGACACGAGGGAAAAAGAGTCCGAGTCCTCACCTAACATTTCTGAAGGTGGGGAGGAAACGAGCCCTGGGACCTGGCTAGAGCGAACCAATTAATTCGCTACCGGATTCGGCAGAAAACAGAAAAAATGTTCGTCCTCACGAAACGAAACCTTCGACGTACGCGGACCCTAATCTTGGGGGAACCTTTAGTACATGTGTCACGGATAACCGATTTTTGGGAACCCCTTAGAACCCTATACGAAGCCACCACCCCCTTCTCCCAAGATATAGCGACAAAAGATCCTTTTGCGACATTACGGGGTTACCTCGCTCCTTGCTCTCTGCAGGAAAATAGATTCGGTTGTTACGGCATGGCGCCGGGAACGAAGCTTTGGAACCCCTTGAGCGTGGCGATCTCTCACCCTCCGAAGTCGGAATAAAGATTGTCAAGAAACCCGTAAGCCCCCGAGAGTCCGAGACATCGAGGACGGCGTTATGCCGGAAGAACACGTGGCGATCCGAGAAGAAGACACTCAGAAGCAGTGGTTACCACGGTGTTTTCCTGGCGGTTGGACAACTCGTTCATTTTGTCTCCTCCACCATGAAACGGTGCAAAGGTCTGCACAAAACAAGTGACGGTTAGCATCCATGGATAATTATATGACCTGCATGTGGCCGAATACATGCCCGATGAAACTCGTCACCTTATCGCAGATATCCTGTCCGAACATCAAGGGGCGATTAGCATCGAGGACACAGACATCGGGTTGTCCTTAGTTATCCAACACGAAATCCAAACAGGAACACATCTGCCGATTCATTGCAAACCATACCGTTATTCTCTTACGAAACAGAGAACGACGTTGAAACGAATTTGAGAATTCGAGGCTAATGGATGGATTGAGCCGGCTACAAGCCCTTGGTACTTCCACGTGGTTCTAGTCCCGAAAAAGAACGGGTCGATTCGCATATGCATTGATTACAGGAAATTGAATGATATCACGAATCACGATTAAAGATGTGTAACCCCTTCCTCGGATTGATGATTTGTTGGATGCGATTGGGTGTGCCAACTATTTCAATAAGTTCGACATCCGTCATGGGTTTCATCATATCCTAGTTAAGGAGGAGGACCGGCCAAAGATGACGTGTGTGTTGTTCGAAGGCTCCTGGCAGTGGGTTCGTTGTCCCATGGGTATATGCAATGCACCAGCTAGTGTGGCAGCTACTTTCCAAAAAACAATGAACGTCACTCCCCATAATTTTGTTAACAAGATCAGGCTGACCCAGGGCATGATCAATTTTTGTGTCATTGTGTACATGAACGACATTCTAGTGTACTCTGAGTCATTTCATGGACACGCGTAACACATCGAATGGACGCTTCGAGCGCTGTGAGATGCGGGTTTCAAAATTGCGTTGGAAAATAGTGAATTCTTCCTCTCCAAGATCTCGTTCCTAGGGTACGTGTGACCCCAGGAGGCTTGAGACCAAAATTGAGTAAAGTCGAAGCGGTTCGGAACGCACCCACACCTACGTCGCAAAGACAAGTTCGAGCCTTTCTGGGACTAGCTTATATTACCGACGATTTATCAAGGGATTTGTGACAATCGCTTGACCCCTGACGAACCTCCTACGAAAGGATCAACTACTGAACTGGGACGCAGAATGTGAACAAACCTTTTCCACTTTGAAGGAGGTTTTGGCCTTGGCGCCTATTTTAATCCACCCCGATCTCGAGAAACAGTTTATACTCATCATGGATTGGCGGCCCAAGGCAATCTCCGCCATTTTGGCATAGAAAGGGAAGGACGGTTGGGAACACGTCATCGAATACGCCTCGTGAACGGTACCAAACGAACGACGGAACGATTCGGCCTCTCAAGGCGAATGCTACGCGGTCGTTTGGGGAATTCAACATTTTCATCTGTATTTGTATGGCCAAAAGTTCCTCCTGGTTACGGACCATGAACCCCTATTGGCTCTCAAGAGGCTCACCAACTACACGGGGATGATTGGACGATGGGCCGTACGACTACAGGAGTATGACTTCGACATCGTCCATCGGAAAACGGAGAAGCACGGAAACGCATACGGGTTGACACGACTGCATCGACCAAGCAAGGTAGCGAAGGGGGAAGACATCACTCTGTGGAAAGGGCCGAAGTTGACAAAGGGTCCAACGTACGGAAAGGTGACCATTTTCCCCAGAAGAGCCGAGAAGTGACACGTAGCCTCATGACGACGGGCGGAGAAGGTAATTCCAAGGACCCTCTCTCTCCCATCTCCTTTTCCTCTTTTCTTTCCCTACCCGACAAATTTTGTTATTTCTGCGAGGCAATCTCGCGGGTTTACTCGGTCCAGTGACGTCAACATTAGCCATCTCCGACTCTATCCAGCCGCGCCAGAAGTATTCATCCCGGGGCTCATTCCTTTTGCGCCACCCTATGAAACACCTGCGGACGCGTCCGCGGGGTCGAGCTCGGATGGCGGACGTACACAAGGCCGCGTCCGCGGCCGACCTCGTCGCGCCACGGGCGGGAATTTACCATATTTTTCCTGAATTAAATAATGTGTAAAAATATATATATATATATCGGGGTTGTAGGGATTTTTAACCCCTACAACCCTATATATAGTTTTTTTAGAAACAGATAAGTTTTTAGAATTATAAAAAATAAAAAACAGAAAAAGCGGAGAAGAGAAATTGAAAATAAATAATAAAAAAAATTCTTTTTGGGGGGGATTTTTGGTTGGTAGTTCTTTGTATTCTTGGTTTTTACCTAGGTTACCAATGGTCTGGGGCCGGTCGTCTCCCCCATACGTCCGGTACCCCCGTTGTCCGGGAAAAAAGGTTCTTTTTTTTCGTAAAAAAAAAAATATATATATATTTTTTTCGGTTTTCGATTTTTAACTCATGATTGACTGCGAATTTGAACATGACTCCAAGGCAAAAGTTGCTTGTATTGTTATGTTACATAACATATATT